AAGCAACCTAAATGCCCATCAGCAGACGATTGGATAAAGAAGTTGTGATTCATATATACAATGGAATATTACTCAGCCATTAAAAACATGAAATCCTACCATTCTTAACAACTTGGATGGACTTAGAGGTTATTATGTTGAGTGAAAAAAGACAGAAAGATAAATACTATATGATTTTACTTATATGTGGAATATAAGGAACAAAAAGAACAAACTAATCAAAAACAGACTCACAAATATAGAGGACAATCTGTTAACGGCTAGAGGAGAGGGGAGTTAGGGGACTAGGAGAAAGAGATGAAGGGTTAAAGAAGTACAAATTAGTAGTTGATAGATAGTCATGAGGTTGGGGAGCACAACATAGGCAATGCAGCCAGTATTAATGTAATGGCTAGAGGTAGAGCCAGAGGAGAGAAAAAGCAATAAAGGGGATCATTTCATAAACTATATAAATGTCTAACCAATGTACTCTATACTTGAAACTAATAATAAACAAAAATTAAAAAAAAAAAACAACTGATGGAATACAGCCACACACACAGAAAAGAGTTTGATAGCAGTTGCATGCAAACCATCTGGATCTGATGTTTTTTTCTGATACTTTTCTCCATTTCCTCCATGGAAATCTGTTTATTTAAGATTTTTTTTTTCTACTAGTGTCAATTTATAAAAAAATACAATTCCTATAAAATTTTATCCATCTCTTTTAGATTTTCAAATATATTTGTTCAGCACTTTTGATAGTCTCATATTTGTTTTAATTTTATCTGTTTAAATGGTTGTTTTCCAATTTATTTTCTTTAATATATTACTGCTTCCTTTTACTCCTTGCTTAAGTTGGTTAGTGGTTTTCTCTTTTATTCCTTTTCATATAATCATAATTTTGATGTATTATTTCTATAGTAAGTGATAGATAATAAATACAAATTATTTCTTTTTGTTTCCTTTTCTATCCAATTTCTTGCTATTTTTAACTTTGTTTCCTTGTGAGAGTTTAAAAATCGTTAATGGGCTTTGAATTTCATCAAATGTCTGCTACATTTATTAAAATGAGCATATGAATCTTCTGTTTGTTTCTGTTAGTGTTGTGAATTTCATTGATTTTTTCAAATAATAAACCACTCAAATTCTTAGAATATACCTCGTTTGTCTGTACTGTAATATTCTTCTTATATGTTGATAGATTTGATTCTTTGTGTTTTGTATTCGATTTTTCACTTGTGTTCATGAGTCAGATTGGTTTGTTATTTTCCTTTTCTATAAAATCTTTGTCAGATTTTTGCCTCAAGGTTATCCTGGCCTCATAAAATGAGCTGGGAAATATTCCTTATTTTTCCCTTATTTTGAAGAGTTTATGTAATATTGGTGTTTTTTCTTTTTTAAATGTTTAGAAAAATTCACCTGTTAAACCATCTGGCCTGAAGTTCTTTCTGGAAAAGTTTTCAAAATAACAGATCTAACTTTTTATGATACACAGAGGACTATTAAGATTTTCCTATTATTTTTGTCTATTTTAGTACCATTTTAAAAGGAGTTTATCCATTTAATCTAATTGTAAAATTTATTAGGTATATACTTTTATAATTGTACTTTTGTCTGTAAGATCTTTAGAGATGCCCTTTTTGTTATAACTGTTGGTAATTTTTCTTATTTTTTTCTTGACTAGTCTTGCTAGGGACTTATTAATTTTATTAATCTGGTCAAAGAAACAAATTTTGGCTTTGTTCATTTTTACTGCCAGTTTTCCTATATTTCATTATTTTCTCCTATCTTTTTCACTTCCTTTCTTTTACTTTTCGAGATTCGCTGTTTCCGCGCCCTCTGGGTTTTTGAGGTGAAAGCTAGGCTATTGATTTTCTAATTTATATTTTTCTACCACATGCATTTAAAACTATATTTTACCCTTAAACACTGCTTTAGTTGCATCTCCAGTTTATAGTTATTGTTTCTTTATTATCATAGAGCTCAAAAGTATTTTTAAATTTTCTTTATGATTTTTTCTTGGATTCATGGGTTATTTAGAAGTGATTGCCTAGTTTTGAACAGTTGTGAATTTTTAAGATAGCTTTTGTTTTTGCTTTCCAGCTTAATTCCACTGTGGCAACAGGGCACACCATGAATGATTTCAATCTTTGAAATTTATTGAAGATTTTTGATCTTCAAACATTTTACGAGCACTTGGAAAACATATTAATTCTATTATTACCAGGCGCAATGTTCTATAAATGTTGTTTATTTTGTAGATTGAGTTAATCAGATCTTACTAATTTCTCTGTCTGTTTTCTCTGTCAACTATTAACCAAGTTGTTTAAGTCCTCTGATTGCAGATTTGTCTACTTTAATTCTGTCATTTTTAGACTCATCTGTTTTTGAAGCTATGATTTTTGTCGCATAAAGATATAAAATTATTATATATTCTTGATGGATTGATTCCTTTTTAAAAAAATGCCCCTCTTTATCTCTAGCAATTCTAGTTTCTTTAAAGCTACTTTCTGATATCAATATATCTACACAAGCTTTCTTGTGTATTTGCATGTTATAAACTTTTGTAATCTTTTTATTTTAATTAAGTTTTTATGTATAAAATATTTCTTTTGTAATAGTTGGTTGCATTTTATTTTTATCTAGTCGGATGACCTTAGTCTTCAGTATGAATATTTAGTTCACTTACATTTAGTGTAAAATTACTATGTTTGGGATTATATCTGCCATCTTACTTTGATTTCTATTCAAACTATAGTCTGCCTCATTTTTTGCTGATTCTGTGTTTGAAAATTCACCTACTCATTAAAATTTATTTGTAACCCCAAAATCAATACCCAGAGCAATTCCACAGTCATTCATGAACATAGGCAGAGTGTAAAAAAATTAAGGTAATAAAAATGTGATCCTCTGTCTTCTTGTTTCAGCTCTCATACTGTAAGTGTCTTTTTTGTGGTCTATTTAGTGTTATGTTTTTCACATTTTTGTACTTTTTGTTGGTGATATCACTTCAGCAAATAACATTGAAAGACCTGGGTGACCACATACACAAAAATGAAATTGGGCTCCTATCTTACACCACTCACAAACACTAACTCGAAATGGATTACAGATTTAAACATAGACCTGAAACCATAAAACTTTCAGAAAAAAGAGATAGAGAAGAAGCTCCTTGACATTGATCTTGACAATGATTTTCTTGGATGTGACACCTAAAGCACAAGTAGCAAAAGCAAAAATCTACAAGTGAGACTACATCAAACCAAAAAGCTTCTGCACAGCAAAAGAAACAACCAACGAAATGAAAAGGTAACTTAAGGAGTGGGAGAAAATATTTGCAAACCGTGTATTAGATAAGGAGTTAATATCCAAAATACCAAAAGAACTCATACAAGTCAACAACAACAACAACAACAACAGCAACAACAATAACAACAAAAAGTCCAATTAGAAATTGGGCAGAGGAACTGAATAAACATTTTCCAAAGACATCCAAGTGGCCAAACAGAGTCGTGAAAAGATGCTCGACATTACTAATCAGGAAAATGCAAACCAAAATCGCAATGAGATATTATCTCACATCCATTGCAATGGTTATCATCGAGAAGACAAGAGATAAAAGTGTTGGTGAGAATGTAGAGTAATGGAAACCCTCGTGCACTTGTTAATGAGAGTGTAAACTTGTATAGCCATTGTGAAACAAATGTAGAGGTTCCTCAAAAATTACAAATACAAATATCATGATCCATCAATCCCAATTCTAAGTACATACACAAAAGAAATGAAAACAGGATATTAAAAAGATATCTATACTCCCGTGTTTATCGCAACATTATTCACAATGATCAAGATATGGAAACAACCTAAGCATCCATTGACAGATAAATGGATAAAGAAGATGTGATATATAGGTATATAGACACCTATATAAATATATACTCTATATATATAATAAAATATTCAGCCATGAGAAAGAAGGAAATCCTGCCATTTGTAACAATATGGATGGATCTTGAGAGCATTATGCTTAGTGAGATAAGCCAAACAGAGAGAGATAAATATTGTATAATATTGCTTATATGTGGAATCCAAAAAAGCCAAACTCATAGAAACAGGGCCTGGGGGTGGGAGAATTGGGCAGATGTTGTCAAAGTGTACAAACTTGCAATTAGAAGATGAGTAAATTCTGGAGACCTAAGGCACAGCATAATGATTATGGTCCATTATACTGTATTATGTACTTCAAAATTGCTAAAAGAGTAGATCTTAAATGTTCTTATCCCCTAAAAGGAATAATAATAGTGTGACTTGATAGGGGTTTTAGCTAAACCTAAGGTGGTAATTAAATTGCAATATATGTGTATCAAACTGGCTCATTGCACATCTTAAACTTACTCAATATTATTTGTTCATTATATATCAATGAAAAAGAGAGATAGAGGAAGAGAGTTGGCATTGCTGTATACAACACACAAGTCTCTGGCATGGCAACAAGCAGCAGTCTGGGGCAAGATACTGGACATTGCAGGACGGAAAGATAAACGTACAAGGTATGAGAGACAAATTTAAATGTCGGTAGGTGCCAGGCAAGTGAGATGTATAAATAAAGTGGGTCAGGGGAAAATGCTTACATGTGTACGTTATGTGAGTCTTGGTGTGTGAGCATGTACAGGTGTGTATTTTGTGCACTTGTGTGTGTATGTGTGTAGAGGACAGAATAGTGAGCTGAAGAGCATATGGCTCTTCAGAAGACAACTGGTATTGAGCTCCAGCAAAGATTTGTTTTATGGGTCTAATATTGCCTGATGTCCAAATGTTTCAGAAGAAGCCAGAAATCAATATATTTATATAAAATACCATGAGTTTTTAATATTGGCTCAAAATGTTACAGCACTGTGCAGCCGTTTACAACATAAAGCAATACTTGGGCACCCGATTTGGCTTGTGGGCTATCAGCTTAGGAAAAAGGGGTGCTTGGAAGGAGTAGGGACATGAAGAAGAAAGAAGACAATAGTAAAGAAGCTTGAAAATTTTATTTGTCTATTTTTGATATATTGAAAGCTGGACATTTTAATGACAAAAATCTTTTTTCAGTTTCACCACTATAGTAACCGGTCTTTCCCTTACTCTGTTATTACACTGTTGTGATTGGAATACAATTTACATGTACAAATTATATCATGAAAAACAATTTCATTGCGAAGAATAAGTAGGTTAGTGTACTTCACCCAAAATAAGAAGGAAATAATAGAATTTTGCATTTTTATATTTTAAAGCTGATATTTTAGCAACATTTTGACAATGGCTTATTCCATTTATAATTTTTGGCAACACAATATTAAAAGAATATCTATTTATTGGCATGCAAAGCAATATGGCTTCAGTATACGCCTCTTAAATTTACAGAACTTAAAATTCCAGACATCCTACATGGCTGGCAGATGATGCTGTGATGATCTTGAATAGTGAAGTACTTACTTCCTAAAGACAATAAACAAAAGACAGTGATTTAACACAGCTATAATACCCAGATGATATAGTTAACTTATCCAGGAAATATTTCAATCATTTATTTTGATAACAGTTATTTATCAATATTTTAATCTTACAAATCCCTAGTCTTTTGGACTCTTTAAATATTTGCATTAAAATATTACTCATTCTTAAGTTTCCCTACCATGAAGTATAAAGTGTATGAATAATTACAAAGAGCAATTATTACCCATTAAGATAAGTGGTTAATTTTTGGTGTTTAGATTTTTATTACTATGCTTATTACATTAAATATATAATACAGATATACTGGTATTTTACTTTATGCTAAAAGTTCAACATATATAACAATTCATAAGGTGACATTAATCTGTGAATGACTTAACATCTCTCTGTTTAATTCTTATCTGTGTTCCTAACACCCTGTCCCTTATAGACACTAAGGAAATGTTTTTGGAATAAATGGGTGAATTGATAAAACTGTAATAATCAAAAACAAATATAATAATATACTCTTACATGACTCATAATTTTAATTATATACCAAGAAGGTAAAGATTCTTCCCAACATAGACGACAACTGTAGCACTATGATATATTCATGAAAGTTTTGATGGTTGCAGAATGAACTAAAATTCAATCACCTGTCAGTAATTTTGGTCTGAAGCAACCAGTTTATAAAGTCTCGGGTAGCAAGATTATCAAGAACTGTGTTCATCTCATCAGAGAAAGAGCCATCAGCGTGTCTGCGGCGGAGTTCTTCAATGATGGTGACTTCTTCTGGAAAACTGAGCAAAAGAGAGACAAAATCAGCAATTGTTAAATGCTTTATTATTTATTTATTTGTTTGTTTATTTATTTTGCCTACAGCACCTGGTCTTCCTAGGTGGTCTCCCATCCAAGTACTAACCAGGACCGACCCTGCTTAGCTTTAAATGCTTTAAATAAATGTTTATTGATTGCCTATCACTGGTACCATGTGTGAGGGTCATTGAGAAAACAATATGTTTCTATTTACAGAGGACCTACTATGAAAAGTCTCATAGAAAACCCATTTGAACTGGTGCATGTCAGAATGGAAATTATACGGGTATAAAAGAGCAGAGCTGGGATGTTAAACAAAGACTGCCTCTTCACGTCCTTTTCAATATTCCAGTTACTTGAAAGATTATTAGTATATTATCAACACTGAGGTTATTATTAAGTCTAATTATTTATTTATAATTCAGAAAAAAAGTATAATATATTATAAAAGTAGTGATTATCAGAACAGCTTTACAAAGTGCAGTATTAAGGGATTAAATCTTAGTCTACATTAGATTTTCTCTTTAATCAGTTTAATTAGCAGACTTTTTGGTATCCCTTTAAAACACCAGAAATATCCTCAAGTGCAACTATTTTACCGCTGATTTTGTAAATTTGATCATTAATGTTTAAAAAATCAGCGACAATACTAGTTCTCTTTAGTCATGAGATTTCTTTAAGTCTCAGTAAGCTTGTTTTAAATCTCTCTAAAAGAAATTGAGTTGAACACGAATTTCCTACTTCTCATAATTCAAATGTCAATCAAAATGGTCAGGAGAAAATGAGATGGTTTAAGTTTTCAGCATTATTTCTTCTTTTTTCCTATCCCCAGTTTTCCTAGGACAGTCCTGGTTTAAGCTTGTTGTCCTGGTGTAGTTATCAAAAACACTTTACTTTAAAAAGTGTCTTGGATTGACAAATTAATACCCTAATTATAGCACAACTATAATTAGAGATAAAAATGTCCCTTTTGACTCCGTTAGTAGTACTTGCTACCAAAGATAAAACAGATGAGGCTTTTATAGACTGTCTCCCACCAATAGAAATTATTTTCCTCCTTTGCGAGACTATACTAATTGCTTCTGTAATTCAGATCCATATATAGACAACTGTAGTCTAAGTTTTTAGCATGAGGCAAAAAAAAAAAAAGTTAAATAAGAGTGTGTAGACTTACTCTCGCCTTCCTCGGCCTTTCACCAGCCAAGCAATAAATTCCTTGGCAGCTTGGCCTTCCAAATAAGAACTTACATCACTAGTAAAGGTCCCTTCAGCATGTCTCTCAAATTCATCATGACGTTTGGCAATGTTATTCCTGAAAGAAATGTGAAAATTAAATTGAAGATCTGTCTCTTTAGCAATATGGTTCTCACCTATAAGCAGTGGCAGCTTCGGGTTCGAGATTCTACGTACAAGGGGTTCAGGGAGACTTGGGAGATGAGGGTGCTTAGGACACTCATCTTCAAATTACATTAATTATCTGGACTGAAGATTGAGAGGAGAGGGCTAATAACAATTAAGGGAGCCTAAAGTTCCCCTGCACCACCCAGTGCACCCAGTTTTCACCTCTCCTGCTTATCTATACCATTGATTATTAATGCTGCATTTACTTCAGTCTTGGTGTATGTGGGCTCTCCACTCTGCTATGCTACTTGCAAACAAGGCAGCTGTTTGTTATTAGTACATACGGGGTCAGAGTTAGTTAACTGAGTCAAGGAAAAGCAAATGATCACCGAAAGTGTCATCAAAAAGACCACATAATGGGTGAAAGGAAACGTGATAGACAGCAATGAGGAAAGCTAATACAATGACCCCATAGCACTTTCAAGTGTGTGCAGTGTTCTGTGGAAGTGATTGACCAGCTACCTTCTGCATATATTAACCTGGAATGTCTCATGTTAAACACACAATAGAAACTGCCTGAGAACAAGGATTATTTTGCATTAGTTTACCAAATCGTGGCATTCCCTTTCTAGAAGAAAGTTGTTTTCATTTGTTTCTTTTCAAATTCGTGCTTACTCACATTTCACCAATGGCCCCATCTGCAGTCCTTAACAAGGACTCCTCATAGTATCTGCTCTAACCGCAGCCACCTTTCTTTCCGTGCCCTCTACTTTAAGAACTTCTGGTCAACTGCCCTGTATCTCCAATTCCTCCTGCTGGCTCATTCTCTCATTCTTTCTCTTGCGCTCTCTCTCTCGCAGTCTCTTTCTCTCTCCCTCATTCTCTTTCCTTTCTCCGTTCTATTCAGATAAATCTATGCCCTTTTCCTTCAGCTACTTTGTATGCATAACTCCCATCCCCTGTGGGCCACCCTCCAAAGAAATTGTGAAATTCTACCATCTCTGTGAAACTCTTGTGGATGATTTCCTTCAGTAGCCTAGATGCAGCAAAAAACCCAACACTGTCAACGAAAATGCAACATTAAAATGTATGCCTTAACGATAGGCTTGTGTTCTTATTTGCCTTCTTCTCTCTTTATGCGGTGCAGCTAGACTATAATTTTAAATGTGTATCTTGGATTGTACTCTACAAGAAAAAGACTGCATCTGTTTCCATGCCTTACCATGATTAACTTGGCTAGGGGATACTTTAATGTGATCACAGTCATGAGTTTGAACCTACAAGGGAATGTTGAATTTGCTCTTATTTTTTGGTCAGAAATTGGATTCCTAAACTTGCAGTTCTACAAAAGTCAGCTTTCAATTTTAATGGAAAGTGCATAAGAGAGTAAATATTGCTAAGACCACAGTTGGAAAAATAGTTTAAAATTTATATTCCATAAGAGGGTAAGAGGATTGGAGGGGTGAGAGGTCAGACATTCAGATGCATAAATACAAAGGACAGCATCACCAACCATGAAAACCATCAAAATTGGAAGAACTTATGGGCACAATTTGATGAGTGTGATGACTTAAGGAAGTTGGAATAAGTTTTAGACACTTTTAAATAATTCATTTATGTGCATATTTTGGATGATGTTTAAACTCTTACTTGTTCCTCTTAGTGTTCATCAACCACTGCACAAAATCCTGGGCACGCCTGGAGTCCAGATACTTGCTGTAGTCACTGGTGAATGTGCCCTGTGAATGGCGCTTGTCTTCATTCATCTGATCTGGATCGTTGAATGGGTCTGTCTGGGGAGCTGGGAATGAGCTGTGAAAAATAGTAATTGGTGCAACTAAATCTCTCCTCAAGCTCAGTCACTTGAGGAGCATCTTCTCACAGAATACGGGGCCACATGAAGCAGAATGGCAGGCACCTTGAATATTTCAGTTGGTACTTCTGAGAGATCTTGTTTGTCATGGGAATCCCAGAGTTTTATTAGAGTTGGATACACTCTGATTCTGAATTTTAGCAACAGATTTTTCAACTTGCTTTTTTTTCTGAAATAGGATTAAATAAATCTTTTTTTAAAAAGCTAATTCATCTACTTATGATTATGCTAATAATGACAGAAGAGAGCAATGACTTGAATTAAATATTTTAAGAGTGAAGAATCCTAAATCATTTGGTAGCATGTTTATGTTTCCAATTTTGTTTTGCATGTATTAATATAAAAAAGTAGTTCTATTACCAGAGCACATGGTAGCTAATGGTGAAAGAAAGACAAAAGTTAAAAGAGAGACTAGAAAAAGCCCATTCGTTAATTTGAAACTGTGTAGTGGATATTCTGCATGCCAGTAATCAAGTTTATTAGCATGGCAAGTATGGGAAATATTCAACATGATTAATACTCAGAAATAGAAATGAGACACTATTTTCACCTGTCAAATTAGCAATGATTAAATATGGGGGGAAGATATTGTGAAAGGAGTATTTCTATAATGCTGATAGGAGTGTGCATGTATACAACTTTTCTGGAAAGCAAAATGGCAAGATATTATAAAAGATTTAAACTCATTCAAATCCTTTGACATGGTAATTTTACTACTAGAAATGTATCCTCAGAAAATGGTAAGAAATGTAGGGCAAAACGTTTGCAGCATTCTGTTTGGAAAATTCGAAGAACTCAAGTGTTCAATAGTGGAGGAACAGTTAAATAAATATTGTACATTTAAGTATGAGATGAAATTGTATGCAGCCATTAAATATTATATGTTTAATAGATATTTTTAATGATATAAGAAACAGATAATAGTACAATGCTAAGAGAAAAAGCATAATATGAAACTGTATAATGATCTGGTATATATTTATATACATACAGTACATACATAACTTTTTTGGTATATTTTCTATTGTGAACATGAATGACTTTTACAATTAGCAAAATTATTATTTTAAAAAAGAAATAAAAAGAAAAATTGTGAATAATTAAAATAATGTACTATGCACTGTGGGAGTAAGTAATGGGTAGATAGGATCAGCTGCAAATTTCAAAGAGGTATAATTTCCCATGTAACCCATTTTTCAACATCGTCTACCCCATTGGTTGTGAAACAACATACTCAAGTCTATACTCCATAAACAACTTTATCACAATGATATTTTAAACATTTGAAAATCATGCAGAGTATTTACTCTAAATTTCTGAGACCTAGTCACTAATCGTAGTTTTCACAGGCTATATTCTAACTATAGTGCTATGTTAGTTCCAGTCTAAAGATTTAATACCTGGATTTCATCTCCGTGTCCTGAAGGGAACGTTGCCAGCTGCCTTGTACCAGCATCACAAACAATCCAGCCAAAAAGTAAATGCTTTTCATTTTTGCTGCCTGTTGGAACACAGAGTCAAGGGAGGTGGGGGGAAGGAGACAGGCAAACATATTTAAACATGTCAGGCTAAATTAGTTTGGTTTTGACTAAGTAAATATTATAAATAGAAATAACAAGCTAGTCATCAATTTTAATCTGAGTATATTTCCAGCTTATTTTAAATAGTAGATTATATTTTCCCCCCAATTTTTTAGAGGCAAAAAAGGATACAAAAGATGTGTACCACCATTAAGATTTTTCATTAATGTAAGACACTTCTGTTAATAATTAGAAGGCTCATTTCCAGACTCGAAATTTAAAATGTCCATGATAAACATTTAAAATATCTACTGTAGATGATATGCTACATATGGTTAGCTCGAATGGCACCTTATCCATAATGCCACCCCCTTCACTATCAGTCTGGCTTTCAATTAATAGTCCTTCACTTCCAGGCATTTACATTATACTGCATTTCAACCATCTTAAAGCAGCCTCAGGCTACAACTTGGCATACCAGCTGTCGGTTCAGATGTATTATTCATTTATATTTTAAATAGTGTAACTTGGTCTAGACTTTGTAATTATAAAGCGGCCAACAGATTTGAGGTATTTTAGGGTGCTTTGACCTGTTCTAAATTAAAGGGAAAAAAATCATTTTAAAGACAAGCAATTTGCAACAAGAACTAATGCTTCTGGCAACTTGAACAATCGCAACTAAGAAATAAGAGATTACTGTCATAATGAAAATTAATGTTTGCTTCTGAAGTCTTGGAAGTCCCCAGGTTGCTTTACAATTGGACTTAGTCCAGGACATGTCATTCACTGTTTGTGACATCCTAGACCTGGTTATAGGATACACCTGGTTGCTTGTCCTTGTGTTGCAAGCAGATACCTTTTGAAGCCATAAGATGCCAAGAACATGGTGATGCGGTGTGGATAGGGCTGGGGCAGAGACCACTGTGAATGTGGGGCAGAATGTCCCCACAGGGTGAGCTTCTCTATTTTCTGAATAGAAACCTCAAATCCAGTATTTGTCATGAACTTCTTTTCTCTGCTACTTCAGTCAGAACATGTTTACTTCGAGAAGTGGAAATTTTAATTCAAGTTTGATTATGCTTACCCATAAATAATTTGAATGAGTATTTTTAGCAAATGGCATTTGGTTTGAAATAAGGATTTTACAAATATTATCATTTTAAACTATCAATCTTTTCTTTAGCATCCCAGCCATATTTACTATCTTTGGCACTAAAACATGGACACTATTATACCAGCAGTGGTTTTTTTTTTTTCTTTGAAATGTTGTCTCTTTAGATTAAGTGGTCAGTTAGACAAAGCAACACAATAAGAATTAAATATTCATCCTTCTTCATTCATCAGCATTAAATTACTAATCGATGCTGTGCTATGCTTCAGTTTATCCACTTGGCAAACTTTGAAAATCTTGCCATATATGTAGATAGTGTCTTCTAATTGTAATTCTCAATTATAAATTCATGCTTTCAGGAATTAAAAAAAATTAAAGCAAGCCTTTTTTTTTTTTATTACACCACTTTTGGAAAGTCAATTTAATCCTAAAAAAATTCCTCTATACAAAGTCCCTAAAGATTACAGAATCTTTCTTCTACTATGTTCTACAGAAGGAGATTTAGAGCAAATGGTATTCTGCTATGGGAGCTGACTGAAGAGAAAGCAGCCACACAGAAGTGAAGGTTTGAAGTCCTCTGTAGGCAGTAAAATGAGATCTACTGAAAGAGAAACCAATTTTTTAAAAATTTCATTTATTCATTTGTGAAAGTCTACAGAATTGTGAAAAAAATTTAAGATTAAGGTTAATTGTTTGAATACCGCTACTGAGAAAGCAAATAATTGTATTATTTTAGTATCAAAATCTTATTCAATAAGAGAAGAATTTCCAGCTATTCCCCTGCCCCCTACTGTAGGTAGCCTAAGGAGAGAATCTGAAGTTTTGTAAGAACTACACATTTCCACTCAAATTTAAAGGGAATATATGGTAACAATAGTATTCCCTGTATAGGAAGTTTTTTAGAAAGATTAACCTTAGACCTAGGCAAGGTGACATTATATAATATTCCTAAATGTATTGGCATTGTAAGCCAAATACTTTTTAAACTGGTCAGCTCGTTTCCTCTCATAGATCTGTAGTATGTGTGGAAAACACACCAATTAATCACTTACTCCATTGAGGATTTTGTACAATTGTTCTTTATCCTTAAGAGCTTAAATGAGTACTTTTTGATTTTCTTTTCTAAAGAGGTTTATTAAAATTTCATTTCTGAATGTGGACATATTAGATATTTTATTTATTACTATTGGTTCTCAATACATAGGAGATAATTACTAATCTGTGGTTTTACTTACCTCTAGCCAAAGAAATCCTGATAATTGATATTTGTTTTCTGTACCAAATATGCTATGTCTTGTTTACAAAGAGCTGATTTCATGGACTTTGATTTTTTGATAGACTTAGAAATTTGAATATTTGAAAGATGATGTTGAATCTGCTCTTTTAGAAAACCATAAGTTTTCATTGGTAAGGAGCAATTGCTATTATAACCCCTCTAATGGGCACATTTCTGCTGAATTTAAAGGCGCCTTCTGTTCAAAGTAATATACACATTTATCAAATCCAAGGAAAATATTTATTTTTTAAAATGTTACTACTTATTTTTGAAATGCAATTCTCATAACAGTTAAAGCATGTAACAAGCATGGTTTGAATATTTGTTTTTCTTTCTATTTTACATCTTACCATTGAACTTATTTTCCGACTCACTTTGCGGCTTCTCTACATTGAAGTATATGTAAATATGTTTTATATCATCTCAATTCTGCCCTGTGTATTATTAGTAATAAACTATAAGATGAAAGAATAATACTTTAATCTGTAATGCTTTGCCCCCTTAAAAATACGTAACTGTATCCCAAACAGGATAAACGATCTTACAAATCACTCAGTATTAACCTTACCTTCTGAAACCCAGACGTGGAACAGAGCAGGTGGAGAGAGCGAGCCCTCTTTTTGGAGCTGCAGATGTGCTGTGTCCTGAGCTCTGTACTGCCGCATCAAAGCATACCGCTTTTATATATTCTCCAATGCTGTTTAGCCTCACAGATATTACGCTGACAATATAAATTTCTCATCTGTAAATAATGAGCTTTTGTTACAAACGATTTCACTCGCTTACTCACTTTGCTCATCTCATTCTACCCGTATATTGGGTGGGACCTCAGAGGCCAGGAAACTTTTTGTTTACTTTTATGCCTTTTTTTTTGTTGTTGTTGGGAATGGAAAGGGCAGTTTGGAAATTCACCTTTCACTCTCAGTCAGGCATGAAAATCACTTAAGTACTCTAAAGTGAATTTTGATGCTGAAGATATGAAATCACATAGTTCATGGCTAACCCCACTTTGAGCATGGTCTCATTTGAAGGTCATGCAAGTCCTCTGTTTTGCTATTTGGTTATAAAGAATTTATCTGAATATAATAATTAATTATTTTTTCATCTCTCAAATAATCAATCATACATTTAAAATAAGTTTAGTAAGAATCTTCTCATCCCCACTGTACAGAATTAATTCGTATTATTTTGGTGGGGAATTTTAAAGAATACCAATTAAGATGTAATATGTCCTATTATAATAAATTAGAATCAGAAAGAAAGGATGAAACAAAATGAAGACTACAGATCCAAGATAAGTGATGCTAATAAGACAGGGTCTGGTATTTCTTTTCTCTTCTAATGGATATTTAAAGGCTAAATCTACTGATAAGACATTCGTACACTAATGTACAAAAGAATGAGATGCTACATATACCTCATATGTATTTCCTGAGTTTTGTGATCTGCCGCTTAGGACTTCAATGATCTATAGGATTTAGCAGATATGAGTCTAATCACTTTGGAGAAAAAGAAAATGGGAAGTGATCTGGACAGACAGCATCAGGACAGTGTCGGTGTAATTAGATTTTAGTTTGGCTGCTATCGACAAGCTGTGTGACTATGGTCAAGGCATACTCTGTGCCTCAACTTCCTGATTTGTAGAATGAGAGAGTTGGTTAAATGACTTTTCTAAAATAAAAATCTGATTCCTTATGACAAAATCATTGCAACATTTCCTAACTACGTTTCAATATTCTAATACCATCATGATAAAGCTGATGAGCTATACAGAAATAAATCATTGATACAACTGGAGAAACATTCCTAATGAACTTAAACTGTTCAATTGTGGATTGGATCCACTGTTAGAAGTAGAGCTACTTAAATGCCATAGAGATCAATTCTATTGAAATTAGGAAAACTTGAACGGGGTTTTTGTGCTAATGATTACTGATGGTGGACAGCCTTGCTGTTCAAAATGTGGTCCAAGGACCAGCATCACCTGGGAACCTGCTAGAAATGCAGATTCACAGGCCCAAGCTCAGTTACTGAATAAGAATCTGCATTTCCCCAAGATTCCCAGGCAATTCATATGTGTAGTAAGGTTTTAGAAGCACAGCTGCATAAAATACCCATGTCATTTTCTTCATCTCCTCTCTGATGCTTGCTGCTGTTTGAACTGAGGACAGGTTCTTGGCCCTACCAGCAGAGGGGGTGAAAGAGCAGAAAATTGTGGTACTCAGGGCTGTCTGGATTAACACTTATAAATACAGTAATAGCTTGAAAAGTGTGAATTAGTTTAATATATGGTCAAATTCTCTCTCACCTCAGTCCTCATAAGTATATTAGGTATACTTTATTAATGGTTTGGCATTCAGTTTTTATTTTTCTCTTTGCCTTTATCTCTGTTTCTGTCTCTCTTTCCTTTTCAGATGCTACCTGTTTGTGGAGAAGTCCTAAGAAGGGAGCTCTGCAGATGATGTAAAGATACAAGATATAAAGATATAAAGCCCTTAACATGACATCTGGCATCTCAGTAAATGCCCTTTCTCAATATTTCTCTAAAACTTTAAAAGTTAAAGTTTCTTTCCCTTCATCCCACTTGCTTTCTAT